CACTCTCACATCCCCCCTCCCCCATCACACACAATTCATCCATCTTATTAAAAAGGTACGCCGCCTTCATTTCGATCTTCAACGACTTATCGCTGGGTTCATAAATAATTGGACTTTCATCTTTAATAATGCATGAGGTTCAATCGTGCGACGTCGTTTCCTCAACTTTATTTCCATTCAGCGCAACGTGGGCGACCCTCCCCTTCGAAGAGTGTCGTCCATCGATTCTGATATGATTAATCACTTACGACCAACTTTAACTCTACGACCTATTGGTATAAAGGACCAAACGTAGGGAAAGAGATGGAACCACTTCACATCACCGAATTCGCTTCAGAGCGATATTTTAGTAAATTACGACAAATCAACGAGAATGGCCATGCCGATAATGGATCTGGATCTGGGTCGGGAAATGCGAATGGAACAACTTCCAATTCACAAAATGTTCCTTCGACGACGGTCCCTTTGATCAATCATGAAACATCTCCATTGGAAGCAGCTACATTCAATTTACCATCCAGGCAACGAAATTCGAATCATGAGAATTTGGTCTTACGACCTAGCGATCAAAGGAAACGTTCACTTGGACACGATCTCACTTCACTACGAACACAACGTCGACCAAGTTTTAGTGGATCATTCGGTGCTTTGAGATCGAAAGTTAATATCACACATAGAGCTCCATCAATTGTTGAATCTCATCAGGAAATAATTGAGGAGAGGATTGAAAGGCAAAGGTGACCTTCATGTTTCCCTCTTGAATTTCGTGGATGACTTGCTAACATCACATAGCGTTGCTCTTTCTGATCTCTTCCTGACTTTACCAAACGAATTACAAGCTCAAATTATCGCACCTTTACCAATCCATACGATACTTGACCTACGACAAGTTTCGAAATCATTTCATGCTTTAGTTACATTGAATGAAGCACCAATCGCGAGATATCATGCAACACATACACTACCAGATTATACTATACGGTTATACCCTTTACCAGATCCTTCGAACCTGAACTTACATTGTTTGGGTGGAATATGGCATCGACTACATGTTGCATCGAAATTATCTACGATGATATCACTACAAGCGCGAAAGGAGATATTCTTGAGAACGACCGAGGCTCAAAAGGTGGAATTTCAACCACAGTATGAACGAATGCGTCAACGATTAATACCACTCGTCTTTACAATCTTTCATTTCTTCGAAACTTACCGAGATATATATGCTCGACATCTTGCAAGACGTGGGGCACCCTTAACACGATTGCCATATACACTTAACCCATTCGAATCTTACGTTATGAGTATGTATGATGATAGAACATTATTACATGTTCATCAGGTTTTTCCTCTGGTTATGTCATCGTTTTCTCGTCGATTGCGGCCCCCTTCGTATGTGGGAAGAGTGGAAAGGTCAATCAGAGGTTATTTGAAGGATCGACCACCCGATGAGGTTTACGCGACCATTTTGACGATAGGAGGATTACGACAAGCTCAAAGATTTTGGGAAACCAAGGGGTATAATGCGAGGAGAGCAGCGGTTGATCAATGGTACGGATTTCTACAAACCAGTCGTTTACCTCTGGTCGAATCAAATGCTGTTGCACCGAAATCGAAAATGTCAAAATTTGCCCATTTGGGAAGAAAGAAAGCTCCCCAACCTGTCGCCCAACCTCCAACCGATAACTCGGGTCATGATTCCTCGGGATGCAATGAATGGTTTTGTGTCAAGCCTAATTGTATAGCTGCACGACGGAATACATCCGACGACAGCATGGTATGGAGAACGAGTCTTGCTGCAGGTCCACCAATGCGTCCATTAGGAAGGGAAGAACTCCGATTGCTGGTGGAGAATATACCCGATTTACATGATATATGGGCGAAGACAGCTGAAGCCACGATCCTTCAGAGGGGGATTGTGGATAGACCCGAGAGGATCAAGAAGAATAGTTTGGTGTTGTTGGATTTAATCAAGGAGGATGGGAGGGATGAAATGGAAGGTTGGGAATCGGGGAGGACGGGTGGGAATGCTGCCGATGGATCGGAGGTTGTGGATGCTGGTTCGGTTTCGGATTGAAGGAGATGACTTGATATTGGTTCAAGGGATATTCACGTGGTACGGCGACCACGACCACGACACGACGACTGGAATCTCGTCATGCCGAAAAGCAATTTAGGCATCATTTCATGGTTGCATTTTTAATGAAGACAAGAAGTGAAGGAAACTAATTATTTGGAATCGCGCGAAGACGAAAAGTCAGAAAGGGAAGCATTGAAGGCGTTTTTGAGCGAATTGTTTTAGGCCCATGTCATGGATGACTAGGTTGGGTCTTGGGGTCGTGGCGTTTTCTTTTTGATATTTGAATTGGAACAACAATGGATGTCATGAATGGATGAATAGTGTCTTTGAAAGGTGTTTATATCGATTGGGTGGTACGGTACGGGGGCCTAATCATTCATATCGGTTGGGGGTTTGGTCTTGGATTTTTATCAAGGCGGGTGGGGGTGGATGGGTGCATATTTGTATTGGGGCATTTGTGTTTTATAGATATTTAACATATTCATGTGTGTTGGAGTGGGAGGGGTAAGGGCAAGGTGTTGCTTTTGTATTTATGAGTTGGGAATAAGTATAGGGGGGGGCTTGGTATGGTTATGAAAATTGGGGGGGGGGGGATAATAAGTGTGCAGTTGAGATTGAGGGTGATAACGAAGGAAAGGAAATGGAAGGGGTTTATATAAAATGAATACATGAATGAATGGATTTTAGATGCAATGATAGTTTCATGTTGTCGGACTTTCTCTCTGTCTCTCTCTCTCTCTCTCTCATAACTGTTGTGCATATATTGCTGGAGTACATAATATGATATACATATAATATAACAGTATCTCGAATGCTATACATAAACCTACTACAGAAACTTAAAAATAAGAAATGCCCAAGGGCTGTACGCAGATACAGGAGTTCTATAACTATACCTATTACTATTTAGTCTAATGCGTTTAGTCTAGATTATTTATAGTAGTAGTCAAGAAAATACCGAATTTGAACTTTAACTTGAACTGAACTGAATTGAATTGAACTGAACTAAATGCAGATAGATAATGGATAATGGATATTTAAGTAACGGATTCTCGAGTTATGAATAAATGTACTCGAGTAGATTGTTTGTTGCATTATATACTATGTTCGGGTGAACTATAATTATAATTACAGTTACAGTATATAATGATAGAATAGAACCCCAATTCCCAATTCCCAATTCCTATACGAATACCTAATCTCACTCCGGATCGATCTCAAAGTATTATAGAGATATATCTGCAGATGAACGGATACGCAGGCAGTCGTGTATATGATATTATATTATACGAGCTTGGCTCCGGCCCCTTCAGAGCCTATGAGGCCTAAAGAGGCCTCCACCTTCACTCGTACTGCGTAGCTATAGGATTATATGGTTTATTAAATATAAATATGAATTTTGAAGTTATTCAGATCATTTTCTTGAATTTTGAAAGGGGTGGTCTGTGCATCAAGCTTTAGACTAAAATGTGGGGTAGATTCAAGCTCTGAATTTCGATGAATTCTGAACTCTGAACTCTGAACTTCTGAA